GTTGTTTTCTGAGCTACATCGCCTTCTTCGTGGTACGATTGAGAATTTCATTGCTGCTGTTGTTAGCCCGTTTTAATAAAGTATATCCCTAATATCCGTGTCCAGCAAGTTGAGACCTTGAGAAAGCTTGGCAGTCTAGCCGTGCACAGAACTGACTAATTAAATCTTTGTCTGAATCTTATTTATATAAAAGTACCTTGAATTTTTAAGTTGAATTATAAAGCAAAATGCACACTCTGCGGACATGTTCATGAGAATATAATTTTTTTGTGTAACGAAATCTACAACACTTGTCAATCATATTGCATGTTGTGTCTAAAAATAACATGTGGGCGTCCCACGGTCTAGACAGGTTTTGTGTCAGGCCCTATTTCAAATTAGGGCCTGAACTTCAGGTTATATTTATTCCTATCCTGAATTTGTTGTGGGAGGTTTTTTCCTTCAAAGTGCAAGTATTTTTTTCAATTTTTCTTTTAGGACTATTCTACAATGAAGTACTCTTGGACACTGTAATCTAAATACATATGAAGACGAAGAAGTGGCATTTATCGGGCAGAGAATCGGCGAGCCGTTAAAATGGCGGCATATGGACGAAATATCGAAGGACACAATATCGAAGATAAAATACACTGCACTGCTCCAAAACTTGCCGAAACTTGGTTGAAATCTCCTTTAGCCATTTGCCATTATATAAAAGTACAACAACTGGATGTTATTTGCGAGACACTGCGATATAAAGCAAACAAGACGGCAAAATATGGCTGAAATCGTGTTTTCGTGGGGGGTAAGTGAAATAAAATATATTATATTTATAGAAAACAGTGACTATCCTTATGAAAACTACAATAATTATATTAAATTAAGCATATTTTTTCATCCCATGGTAATTTTTTTTAGGAAATAAGGATATTTAATTTCTGCCATGTATATTAGTTATTTTCTGCATAATCAGCAATTTACCTGGGGTGATAAATGGTCATTTTCTTGTAAAATATTATACTTACACAAATTTGTCTTCCAATAACCACCCCTAAAAGCAACCCTTCTAAACACTATAAGCACTTCCGAAAGCCTGTCACTTTTGCTTTTCGGAAGTTAGAGCTTTGTCGGCACTGCCGTTTCAGGGCGGGGTCATTTTCAGGACTTTCGTCCAGGATTCAGGTTTTGGCACATATGCCATGTTGACCGCCATGGTCATTTTACCCTAAAGCAGATGAGATTACCTGTGGTAAATGAAACGCATACAAACTCATATACAGGTCCTAGACTAATTGTTTTGAATGCATTCGTCGCATGTAAAATGCGACGTTTAGAACAGGCTTTATATCTGATATTTTGTTAAAACATTAAACACGTTATTGAAATCACAATCTTTTCAATCTTTCATGCATGAAATATTGAAATAAATAATATAGAAATGGTTGAATGCATGGTTTTTGGCACGCGCGCTAAAAATAACCGATGCATACATGCCCTGCATGTAAACAAAACATTTAATACATACAGAGGGCCGGATTGCAAAAAACTTGCAAATAAGTTCTTTTTTCATAGTCTTAGAGAAGATTAACAGAATTACAGAATATTCAGCCCAAATCAAATCGAAATCGGGCTTTGCATCAGAATGCTGGAATGGAGTTTGCTGGAGTGATATACCTTTATACCTGCTTCATTCCTCAAAATTCTTTCGATTTTGTGTGAAGCCAGTCCAATGTATGGTAGACAAACAGACGACTGATATTCAATCTTCTGCTGTATACTTTGTGGCGTTTTCATAGCATTATCTATGAAATGCCGTAGGTAACCATTCATTTTTAGAACATTTCTTAAATGTTCTAATTCATCGTTAACGTTACTTACCTCACAAATTGTTTTCGTTCGGTTGATGAGAGTCTTACACACAGAGTTTTTAATACTAGGATGATGAAATGAATTATAATGCAGATATCTGTCTGTATGTGTTGGTTTCCTATAAACCTTATGTCCTAGCGACCCATGCATCATGCATGTATAGTGAAAAGAACATCTAAGAATGGTATAGTTTTATCATCCTTCTGTACTTCAAAAGTAAACTTGATCGATGGATGCAAACTATTAATGTGGTCTAGAAACTTTTGTAAATTATCTAGTCCATGAGACCAGCTACTCAAGGTACCATCCACGTATCTGAACCAGAATCCAGGTTTCAACTTTGCAGTAGCTAAGGCCTTCTTTTCAAATTCCATCATGAACAAATTAGCCATAACAGGCGACAATGGACTTCCCATTGGAGCGCCGTTTGTTTGTTCATAGAATTTCTCCCGCCATTGAAAACATGTCGTGGTCAAACATAGTTTCAACAAATCATGAACATTCTCAGGAGAAAGATTAGTTCTTTGAGATAACGTAATATCTGAAAGAAGTCTTTCTTTCGCGATATTACAAGCCTCTTCAACTGGAACATTAGTGAACCATCTAACTACGTCAAAACTTACAAGAATGTCATTATTACCCAATCTAATTTGTTCCATATTTTTGTTACAAATTCTTTAGAATTTACTACATGATGTTCTGTTTTTCCAACAACTGGTTTCAATATATTAGCGAGATATTTAGCCAGAGCATACGTTGGCGAACCTATGGACGCTACAATAGGTCTTAGTGGGACATTAGATTTATGTATCTTAGGTAAACCATAAAATTTTGGACAAACAGTAGCTGAAGGTCTCAAACAATTATGAAGAGTTTGAGACAAAATACCTGCCTTTTTAAAACCAGATAGTTTGGAACATATTTTACGTCACATATTATCGAATCGAAATCGGACTTTGCATCAGAATTTGATCCGCAACTCACTCAGAAATCGAATAAAGTAAAATTGCGATGGGTTTAATGATACTGCATGTAAACTAGCCTGCGAACAGGCTCTCAAGCTGAATTGAGAGTCTGCATCGATGACTGCTAATGAATTTGAATATCTGCGTCTCAAATCGTGACGCGAAATTCTCATTGGTCAGATGCTATAATTTATGTCACTTGTGTCCAAAAATATTGGACATTTTTGTAACCTGGCCTTATTAAGGTCATGTTATCCCGGGGGGATGAACAACCACAGGAACAACTGCTCAAGCTATGCTTATATAGTCGCTAGCATGCACCGATTTGTTCAATTTCTTCTCAGCTATTGCATGTTATTATCATAGCATGATCAGTTACTGTAGCTAGCTAAATACTTAGTTGTATAAATGCATGAAGTTAGTTGTTAGTTTTTTGCTATTTGATGTTAACGTATTGTTCCCGGGTTCGCAGTATTTGGCCAATCGCTGTTGCGAATACCCTGCCATATAGTCTATTTAGTTAATTCGTTAAATTATTACTTTGTAATAACTGTTAAGACTATTTGGTGAAGTTAATAAATTAAATTAACAACTGAACATTTGAATGCACGAACTATAAAAGTTTCAAATAGAAATGATTTTGCCTTTGATTTTTAAAATATGAATGTATAACAATTGTTTGAAAATTCATATTTTAAAACAACAGGCAGCAGATTAGGCTTGTTTTTATTTTGATGGAAATTATAAACTTAGAAGTCACAAGGATTTTGAATTATTCTATCAAGAATGCAGTATATTCGAGGTAATTAACGATTTTATGATGCATATATAAAATTATATTCTCATATATTTTAATATTTATCAATTTATATATCCTAAATTCCAGCAGATTCGTGGCTGTCTGTTTGTATAATTAGTTTTCTTCGTTTAATTACTCCTCCATCTTTCGCTTCTGGATATAAACCTTCCTTCATGCCTGATATATTTTTTGGTTATCTCCATCCTTCACTTAGTTCACTAAAATCAAAATTTTCTGTTCCAGCTTGCTCAAAAAATATTCAATCTTTCATAACTGGAGTTCTCTTTGACATGCAAAATGGTTAGGCAGTACCCTCAGTAAAATACTTATTTAAGGAGAACCCATGGGGTCATATATGATCCCACTGTATTGAAAAGCCCATTGTTAGTGACATGTTTGATGATAATTATTTCTTCCCGCTAAAATCCAGAGTCCCACATATAATCAACCCGAAAAAGTGATCTGGTGACGAATTTGTAAAATTACGTCATTGGAATTTTCGAAACACACATGGCGATTTTCACTGTGAGTTTAGTAATTTTGAATTGCGGTTTTCAAGGAATAATCAAGCCATAAAGAAGTAAGTTACATATATTTTTATGACTGGAACTAACGGATGAGTTATTAGTGAAAAAGTGAAACGTATTTTGGCGAGGTTTTTGTAAATTTGTGATGCATACAGCAAATTGTAAAATCGACGGGTCACATATGAATCACTGGGTCACTGTGGACATTTTTGTCAGGGGTCAGATTTTTGAAATGTGATAAAGTATAATGCAGGATTTAGCATATATATCAAATCAGTCTTCCCAACTTTACACCAACTTGGTGAGGGTTTTGTAGACTTATAGTTTAGGTCAAATATAAAGGTTCTGTTTTCAGAGATACAATATGAATATACATAATATAGAACTACAAAACATTTTTATTTATAGTGTCTGTTTTCTTTTTTCATGATTCAGTTTATCATGGCTAGCCGCAGTAAGCGAGATTGTATTCCTGTTGAGCAAGTTATCGATGAAATTGATGTTGATGCTAGTGATATAAGCCTAGATGGCCCAAGTGATGAGTCGGATAGAGATGAAGTGTATGACCCAGGTAATATTGATAAGTTAGAGAGTAGTGACTCTGAAAGTGACCATGAACACTTATCAGAAGTGAATGACGAATCCAGTGGTGATGATGATGTACCTCTCGCACGAATATTGGCCAGCGCCACAAAAGGAAAAACCAAGACAAAATATACATAGGGAAAAAAAGATTTCGTAGCACCCCAAGATCAATTTCAGGGTGAAATAGTTGAACCAACCGATCCAACTGGAATAACAGAGACACCCTTACTTTACTTCAAGCGCTTTGTGACACAAGAAATGATAGAACTTGATAGTGGATTATACTAACAGATACAGTGTCCAAAAGCAGGGTAAATGTGTAAATACATCTGCGAAAGAAATTGAACAAGTACTGGGCATGTACTTCAAAATGGGCCTTGTTGAGATGCCTTCAATACGGATGTACTGGGAAAAAGAAACCAGATACCCTCCAGTTACAGAAGTTATGAGCAGGAATAGATTCCAGCTACTTCTTTCTCTGATTCATTTTGTGGACAATGAAACTGTGTCAGAGGAAACCAAGAAAGATCGCCTTTGGAAAATTCGACCATTTCTGGACATGTTCCGAGCTCGGTGCCTTCAGACTACCCCTGCAGAACATCAGTCCATTGATGAAATGATGGTACCCTACAAAGGCAAATTTGGGAATATTCGGCAGTATGTAAGGGGTAAGCCGCATCCATGGGGCTTCAAAGTATGGGCTAGATGCTCTGTGCATGGAATCCTTCATGACTTTGATGTTTATCAGGGAAAAGGTGGAGATAAAGGAGCGAATGTGTTTGGCATTGGAGGAGATGTTGTTGTAAAACTGTGTAAAACTCTTCCTAAAGATGTAGGGCACAAGATATATGCTGATAATTTCTTCACCTCAGTTGAACTGATAGAGAAATTGTCAGAAGACGGATTCCTTTACGCTGGGACAGTGAGAAAGAACCGTCTCGCAAAGTGCAATGTCTTGGAGGAAAATGCCCTGAAGAAGAAAGGACGAGGATCACATGATTTTAGAGTAGAATCAAAGACCAATACCGTGTGTGTTAGATGGCAGGATTCCAAAGCAGTAACCCTCATGTCAAACTATGCTGGTCCTGAGCCTATGGACAAAGCCCGTCGCTGGGACAAGAGCAAGAAAGACTACACCAACGTTGACCGCCCATACATCATCAGAGAATACAATACTCACATGGGTGGTGTGGATATGCTGGATGCACACATCTCCCGATGTAAGTATTCCATTCGAACGCGGAGATGGTATCTTATACTCTTCTGGCATTTTACCAGTATTGGCGTAATCAATGCATGGCTGCTGTACAAACGTGACTGTTCCCTACTGGGAATCACAGGCAAGAGTGTGATGAAGCTGCGCCAATTCCAGTCCAAGGTTGCACAAGCACTGATTGAGCGTGGAACCACCAGAAAGTCGGGTAGACCATCCCTTGGTGAGGAAACATCGCCCAAACCCCCTAAGATAATCCGTGTCGAGCCATGTGAAGATGCACGTTTCGACCAAATTGCACACTGGCCAGTAAAAAGAGACAAGCGTCGTCGCTGTGCAGTTTGCAAAACCATCAAAACTGATACGTGTTGTGAGAGATGTGATGTTCCTCTGTGTTTCAACGAGCGCAGAAATTGCTACAAACTGTATCATATAAAGTAGTAGTATAGTAACTTTGTATGTACTGTATGACAAGCTATTGAAGCTAGTATATATGTTTCACTAGTGCCTCCTTTCAATGCCTTAGACATTGGCATCATAACAGAAAAATATTCTTGTTCAAACTCTGACATTTATATAATCTAGGAGTGACAGTAAATATCAAAGAAAGACCCAGTGGGTCACATATGACCCGAGTCCTAAATTGGGGGCAAATTGACGAAAATCCCCAAAACATATTTTTATAGTTTATCTAGCCTGTTTTGTTAGTTTTTAGACTAACAAGAATTTTTTTCTAATGATAAAAATTGTCTTGGGTTCTCCAGGGTATTAAATTAACTGGCTGACCATTACAGTAGTCAAAAGTTAATAAATGAATACATGCAAAAATTACAAATTAACTGCCCTCATATCAATCCATTGGTCTCTGACTCATCCAATAAATACTTAACAGAATAGTACGATAATAATAGAAAAATGTGAAAATGCCAACGTTTCCTAACTTAGTGTGACAAGAAAGTTAGATTACATTAATTTTACAGTCAGGTATTATTTTCTTTATCGCCTCAATACTCTGGTTGATGATTCCAATGGCCCCCATAAAATTCCAATACCCCCCATAAATTTCCAATGGCCCCCATAAATTTCCAATGGCCCCCATAAATTTTACTGGAGAAAATGTTTCCCCCACCTCTTGCCATTAAATCTCCATAGCCCCCAATTTTACCCATCAAAAGGAGAGTCTTGCGTGGTCACACTACAGTAATGGGAATATGGGATTATCAAATATGGCATACTTTGTTATCTTTTTCTGTCCAACACCACACAATTTTACTTGTCAAGTGTAAGATTAAGTGAGTAATAAAAAGTGGCTGGATATTCTAACTTTTGCTCCATATAACTAGACTGTGGTTGTGAGAAAAATGTAAAAAGACAATTACCAGTAATACTGGCTTTACCACATCCCTATTATTTACCTTGCAACCTTGAGCCGTTGTGCTGTTACTAATACAGCAGAATGCGGTTTCAAA